GAAAGCTTTGATAACATAAGCAAATATTACGAAGGCCTACTCGGCTACTATGAGAACAATGGCGACCGTGAAAACCTGGACAAAATGTTGTCCGTCGTGTTGCAAAGGAGGGGCACCCAGTGTAAGCAGTCCTCAATGAAAGACGTTTTCAAAACTGAATAATTGTAAAGGTATGATTGTCATGTATATTGGGAATGTGTTGTAACCCAAACCTTTTGGAAAGAACTTGAAAACTGGATAATCCAAAACAAACAGAAATTTGAAATAAGAAAGACTTTAGTTTAGTTTGGTTTGGTTTTTGGTAATGAGCCATTGCTAAATCATATAATCTTTTATGCTAAAATTCATATATATATACTTGCACTTTAAAGAATAGAATTCCAAAGTTAATAATGTCTTAATTTTTTTTAAAGACACCTACACGGTTGAAATATTCATATCCAGAAGGAACAATAATTTTGATAATTTTCAGAGAAATGGTTTCCTTTACCCTCAGTTTTCAATCTCTGACTTAATCTGTAATCAAACTTGAATAACTTTATTGCATTATAATTTCTTCATGCCACCAGTTGATGAACTTTGATCATGAATATGTACACTTTTTGCTTTACTTTATATGCTTGTATTCAATTATCGGAACAAATGAAAAAATCACAAAGAGTTTAAGGTAGCTGGTCACGTGATCATTATCGTATTATAGTTTCAGACCATCACACCGATTACAAATGAGATATTCTTCAAGATCATTAAGGTTAACAGCTGTGTTTGTTCAAACATGCCATAGAAAGTCAAGTGAGTGTATGAGTGTTTTATTTCCAACACGTGGGCGGACGGTTTATGGACACGAAGTCGACCTTTTGAAATTTCGCTATGGACACGAAGTCGACCTGCGGCTAACTTTGATGTCGAAGGTGTTGTTAGAGTCACGCTAATCCGCCAGTGGGTGTTGTTTTAAGATTGCCGATAACTTGGGCGCGCAAAAGGCGTGAACATAGTTCACCCACGTAGTTGACACAAAATGTCATCAATGTCATAAATGTTATCATATGAGAGTGATTTTTACAATGATGAACGCATTTCATTCAATTTGGATATATATAAGGAAAGAACTTGAGGTAGTTTACATTCAGTTTCGAAATGGCAAATGCACAGTTGAATCAGCGATATCTTCCTACATCTCGTGGCGGCAGATACCTGTGTGTTGGTGGCTTTATGTACCGTGAGAATAAAGGTTGAGGAGCTGTGGCTGGACACATTAGCAACCATGCCCGACAACCCACGATGCCGAGACATCAGTGACTACATCACCAGCTACTGGATCGAGGGTGACCTCCATAGACCACAGTGGAACCACCATGATCCTGATGACCCCCGCACCAACAACCATTTAGAAGGGTGGCACTCTCGTCTCAAGAGATTGGCGTGGAAGGCGCACGCCAATATCTTTGAAATGATCAAGTTTCTTGCAAAGGAGCAGAGTCACACTGAAGTCCGCCTGTTGCAGTTCGGCGGTGGACAAAAACGTCCCTTGAAGAAAAAGAAGTACAGGGATTTGGAACGTCACCTGGACGTCCTAAGACATGATCTTAGAAATGGCGTCATCAACACCAGAGATTTTGCAGATGCTGCATCTCACCTGCTTCATGTGGGATGATTTCGAATCAGAAATAAAATGAACGAAAAATAATACTTTTCTCCTGTTGTCTGTGCTTTCAACCGCATAATCCGGATTATCACCTTGTGTAAACACTGGATTATCTCTGTCTTTTTTAATCCCCTGTTGATGGTATAATGTCAAATGGACAGGACGTCGACCTTATTTCTTACCTGAACCGTGACATTTCACCCAAAGGTCGACGTCCTGTGCAGACACCGGGCGGACATACATACATACCATTGCAACCGCTTCACAATATATTATATGCACAAAAATTCTACATACACACTGAATTTTAGTAGAGTGGGTCGTTTATGTTTCCGTAGTTCCACCAGAAGACATTTTGGATAATAAATATCACACTTTTGATATAATCATACACAATTAAGTGTTTTGCCATATATTCTTACAAACGTAGCTGCAAATACTTGCAATACTGCTGACTCACCTTTAAGCAATATTTACGTATTCACTCACTAAGTCTCGTGTCACTCAAGATGTTTTGTATGCATGCGCTGGCTATGTACAGCAACGTATACCATGTATACAGCTCAGTATTTCTAAGTAACCCACCTTCGTCACACTTTGGTGTGAAAGGAGTCAGTTGAGTTTACACAGGACCCTTTGTGTGCCCTGTTGATACTATTTACACTCATATGGTCCTGCTTGCGGGTGCAATATGGCCATTATGTCACTGCATTCACCATACATTACGGATTTCCATATTGCAGAAATACCTACACTGAGCACTTATCATCTTAACTTGACAACGACTGGTAAACATCTTCAATGTCTTCAATGAATAACCTGTAAACACCATTCGACAGCTTAACTACTGCACCTGTGACAAACAAATGTACTATGTGAACAAAGTTCACATTCGTCATGTGGAGGCACCTTTAGGACAATTGTGCATGTAGCTATGAGAAGAATTACCGCAACCTTGAATATGACTTAGTTCTTAGTTCTTGTCCAGAAAATGTATACCAGTTCAGGTATAAAAGAGGGGTATGGTCTTACAACAGCACGTAGCTCTCTTGATTCCAGCAGCGAGATTCTGACTTGGTTTCTTTTAAACCCGGCAAAGCCACAACATGCCATTACACAGAGGTGTCATAGCTCAGCACAGTTATCATTGAGGTACACAGACCAAAATAATGTTCAACACGACCCCTACGAAACTACGTCAGTGTTAAGTAAAGCTTTATATTTAGTTAGTGTTGAGAGCTTGCGCAACTTTTCAAAATCATGTGTGAGCCCGGGTTTTTTTTCATAATGGTAGCTACGCCCCTGTTTACCTTCGTCCTTTATTTTGCGCAAGGTACTGACAGATATACCAGCAGCATCGCTGGCTTTTTTGAGTGCACTGTGTGTGCTGTCGGAAATAGTACACATCTACTGAATGACATTGTAGGCAACCTCACGTATTTGTGAAGGAATGACTTGACCCCGTTTACCCAATTTAGAGTGCGACATGATAAGTTTCAAATACCTGCAGAGTTTGATACTAGTATACACATGCTTGTGCAGAAACACGACATTTCCGAATCATTGCGCAGAAAGTGATTACTGCAAGGATCACAAAATCACGTGCCCTAAGTTTTTCACACCTGTTCCCCTTCGAGTAGGTAGTGGATCAGTTCACGACTCGCTCCCAGCTCTCCTTTAACAAACGCGTCTTTCGCGCACCTCATTCTAATGTTGGTTGGACAGTGGGAATATTTGTTTGTATCTGTTACATGAACAAAGTAGTTGGTGTAGAAGTGATAGAGTTTGAACATTTTTCAAACTCTGTGAACTGTACAATACTTGTCGTCTTCAAGCAATTGAAATATGTTTTAGTTGTTTGACAAACAACACCATTCATTCACAACTATGAATGATGTCTTAGCTTTTTTAAGAAAGAGAACAAAGATAAGATACAATTTAGACAGCAGACTTAAAGAGTTTTTTTAGTGATTTTGAATTCTGATATAAATTACATTGAATTGTTTGTGAAAGAATCGGTGTGGAAACACAACTTCCCAAAGGAAACTTCAGTTTCAAATGTATTTTAAGGTGTGCTGAACATGTTTGACTGTACCTTCTTCAACATGAAATGCTGAAATTTTATGAGATCAACAGCTCTTTATGTGTGTGTGTGTGATAGTAACACAGGTTTTAATGAATTTATTACTATTTGTAGTCACGATATGGCTGAAATACTGCGACTGTAAAGTTTAACTCACTCACTCACTCATGATATATCGTCTCGCCTCATTAAGCTGGTATCAGGATGTATCGTCTCTCCACTTAGACTACGAAGCACAGCTCTTCACATCAGTGATACATTGTAATCATCTTTTTCGAAAGTATAGATAATGAAATTTGTGCAGCTATGTGAACACACCTGTCTGTGTTTTATTGCAATAAGCTGTCTCTCCTTGTATGTCATATATAAGAAGTGTACCTAAGGTAAATTATTTAAACTATAATGTAATTTCCATTACAAAAAAGTATAAACGGTATTACCTACTCATCAGAAAGGCTTATCAGTACCTCACCGCCACCACCCCACCCTAGGCCTACACCCTCTCACACACATGCACACACACACTGCCTAACATGCATATCGCTCCGGCCCATTGACCCAATATTGTAACCTTTTAAACAGACATCATGTGTATGTCAAGAAAGGCAGGCACGTTAATAGTGGTGCTCAGTCATGGGTATCACTTCGCCATGTGTTTCTGATGATCTGCGTGCATTATGACGTGGTCCGACGCGCTAACGAACCCGATGTGACAGTTACATTACAGAACCATTGAAATACATGTTAAAGTAGTGTTAATCTTGTAACACTATATTTACCAATTACCAACCATTTACGCGTGTACTAAATATATGACAAACCTAACCCTGGTCATACGAGATTTCAAAGGTATTGAAATGCATGTCCTACAATCACAGCATTTACATACGTTACACATGCTAGAAAACACATGAAAATAATGGCCAGATTTACACACCCGTGAAATACAAGTAAATACAGACTTTAGTGTTCATTTATTTTAACACCCCTTTAAACGTGTGTAAATCTGACATCCAGATGATAAGCCAGATTTCAAACGTTGTTCATATGGCCGCCGGATGAAACGTATATTCCCTAATGTTAGTAAATTTAGGTAATACAGTCATTTTGGGTGGTGCTAGATCCTCTCTCTGAGTATGTTTCGTGGTCCTTTAGCATACTACTTGGCTAATGAAAAAACGGCCAACGCCTTGCACAAAGCGTATACACTCTAGTATGACCTAAATACTATTCAAAGCGTTACGTTCACACACTCTCAAAAATTGTCCTTACCTAGCATCCATACAATGACGAGAAGCACCGGCTTCACATCCATGTCCGGGAACTCAACCACGCAAGGCTATCTGTGAAGCTCTGTACACCACTGAACGAACATGAAACTATTCCAGCTATCAGTTTTGATCAGCAGATTACTTGCCAGGTTCCAGCACAGATAGTTGCGGCCGCTGTTGGATTCGTTCTGCGGCAGGACGTTGACACGGTGGTATTTAGACAGCGTTTCGCAATTATTCATTTACGGTCCAGTGATAAACATTACTTTCTATTGCATATCGTCACGTGGTTGTAAATAGCAAAAGTCAAAACGTTAGGGAGTTGACTGTACAATATCTGACTAATGACTGTGATGTTATCAACATGTTAATAAGTGCATAATGTATCACATGGCTTTACAAAGTAATCCATCAACTGACTGTGTGACGGTGATAAGCGTAGCCTGAAACAGTGGACGATAATAGGGATGAATAGTCCTTCCACGCTTACCTCCGTTTCATACTACTGTACATCTGTAATAATTCATAGGAGTAATAAGCTATTTCAACAGAACTCGGTAAATGTGGACAATTGTCGCTGGGTAAAATTTGAATTTGATAGCATCTTTCTCTCGGTCCTTCAGAAATCTGATGCTCCGATCTCGCTACAAATGGAACGTCATTTAGCCGCTGGTTGAGCGTTGCAGCTGCGTGAATGTCAGTGAGTGGAGTCGCCTAGTGTGTAGACCATGGCGGCAGCAGCAGGGGTGTTTTATTCATCTTGTGTAACAAAAATAGACCTTCGAATCTAGACTCACAAATGAACATATTTTACAGATAAAACAGTTTACAGATATAATGAAAAGAAGCCCGGAGACTTTCTTCATTTTCAGACTTGCCACACATTCTAGACTTGCATGAGCTTTCTTTGATGTATTTGTTTCATGATCTGTAAGACTAGGGTGGGGGATGTGGAGGGGGAACCAACAGGTGCTTGCTAGAGAAAAACAATAAGGCGTTGCTATGAATCTCTTCATGCCCAAATCTCTTTCGAATCCGTTCTGGTGACCCAAGTTCTTTGTTCACTCGGATCCTTCTTTCACAAAGCGATATAAGCTCGTTGACTGTAAGTAACTTTCACTGAATACAACACAGTTACGACGCACATCGTAATAGTTTTCAGAAATAGTTTTCAATGGCACCATTGCATGGGTACTGGGATTCGCTCGACCCATTGCCGTATGCCGTAACTCTTCCCAGAGCTCGATGTAAGCACGGATATATCACATGACGATAAAAATCCTCAAAATATTGTCAATAATAATAATGAAAAGTCTTATAATGCGCTAATCTCCACGCAACAAAGCATGCTCACCCTGATTATTATAACCCAAGCTGCCTGTTTGCGGCTCTAGGTTATAGTCACATGACTTTATCAAATCGGGTACCCATTTTCTGCTGGGTGAACGGAGGCAATTTTGAACAAACTCACTTGCCTAAGGTGAGACCACATATATCACCTGTGCTTCGTTATGGACAGGACTGAAGTCCTAGAAACTCTCTGGAGTCAAACTGCCAAACACGGTCACCCATCCGGAGACTGTCCGAGCTCGACGTTGCTTAACTGCAACTGATTCGTGACCTGAGCTCTGGGCTGTGCAACTGATTCGTGACCTGAGCTCTGGGCTGTGCAACTGATTCGTGACCTGAGCTCTGTGCTGTGCAACTGATTCGTGACCTGCGCTCTGTGCACAGGACCACCCGCCACCACAAAATAGGCACATCAGTTGAGAATAGATACAAACAAGATGGCTAATAAGGGAAAGGCAGTGGTGACTGTTAGCAAATGCACGACAAAAACAGTAATATGCGGCTAAAGCGCGAAGAGGCTAAACAGGAAATAGAGAATATAGCTTACAGCTGGTTGAAAGACTAATATCTCACCTTGCCTTTGAATTACTTGAAATATATTGACCATGACAATACCAGACGTCTAGGTGGCGGTAGTTAAAAGGTCCAGCAGGGAATATATTCACTGAACATGCACTGATGTCTGTTATCTCTACGAGTGCGTGGAGTGAGGTGAGTTAGGTGAGTGAGGTGAGTGAGGGTGAGTGAGTGAGTGAGTGAGCAAGTGAGCCAGTGAGAGAGTGAGCGAGTGAGTGAGTTAGTTAGTTTAATTTTACGCCGCAATATTCCAGCTATATGGCGGCGGTCTGTAAATAATCGTGTCTGGACCAGACAATCCAGTGATGTCTGTTATCTCTAGCCAAGCTCCTTGCAGCGAAACGGCATATGGTAATATATGGTAATTAATCTGACGCTTCCAATATAGGTTCTAGAGTGTTAATAATCATTGATATCTTCTATAAATCGTTTGACTTACGATTACATAAGATGATTCGGGACCACGTCATGTGATGTTTAGATTCATAAATAAATCTGTACCGACAAATATCGATTGAACGTATTAACCAGAGTACAAAAGGGCCGCCGAAATTTGTTCCATTGTCTGTTTTAGATCAAAAAAAGGAAAAGAAAATAAATATTAAGTTTTTTATTGCTACTTAGAAGTTGGGAGAATTTGATGACATTAAACTTTTTATGTTTCATGTTGGTCAGGATATTTTCATTTAGAATATATACAACGGTGATAAACACCACTACCCCTTGTCCGATGTACACATTAGGAGACACGTGTGAGTTTAATCACGTCCAATACATTAATGTTTCAGTTTCACCTTGGTGTTGTGGGCAATGTTTCACTTTCATCGCGAATTTTTGAGAGAATGTTTCAGTATCACCAAGGTGTTTGAGACAATGTTTCAGTTTCACCAAGGTGTTTGAGACAATCTTTCAGTTTCACCTAGGTGTTCGAGACAATGTTTCGGTTTCACCATGGTGTTTGAGATAATGCTTCGGTTTCACCATGGTGTTTGAGACAATGTTTCAGTTTCACCAATGTGTTTGAGACAATGTTTCAGTTTCACCTAGGTTTTGGAGTCCATATTTCAGTTTCACCGTGGACACAAGGCTGCTTGTTTACCTATGCGTCTATACATAATTATAACACAACTTACAGGCCATCAACATTTTGCTCTTTCAGGAAATGTAGTAAAGGGGTATATTTTGAAACTATTCCCAGAGCTTTATTACATATTTCAAACACATAGGTATGCCATGGATTTTCAACACCTCTTTAAAGTCTTTTCCGGTAAGACGGTTTCTTTATGTCTAAATAACAATGACAAACACCACACTGTATGAATATAGTTGATCTGTATTTCACTGAACACGAGGCATATGTTGCATTAAAAAAGCAGTCGGTTCGGGTAACATGAATGACAAGGGCCACATTACAAATAATTCTGTATTCCATAGTTTGTTGAGTCACCAGTCACTGTGCAGTCAGTCGAATCAAGAGCACATCTGGCAGTGGTTGTGTAACCTTAAGGGCAAGGGCCACAGTTTGTTTTTCCTGGTGAGCTTTGATACGGTCCTCATGGACATGGAGTACATGGTTGAAGACTGTCAGATGAAGACGTTCCGGGCGGACACGGAGATGTATTAGCAGTGGCATGGAATCAATTTTGACTTAAACCAGACAGATTTTGAACAAAAGGGATATTGGCCACACAGTGTCAAAGGTGTGAAACACTGCATCCACATACAATGAACCTAAGTCTCGTTTACTGGTAAGAGCTTCTACATGAAGACAAACAATATGATATGTATGATGGAACATCCAAGGTAGATTGTAAAATTCACTGTATGATGTAAAACTCTTTCTATGGTGCTCTGCGGAGACCCAATAAGTATGTATGATTTAAATATCTTTCAAAGAGCACACTTACACATTATATTTTGGGATTTTACCTCCTCAAGGTCTTTACAATGATATAAAAGATGCCTTTGTTGCTTGTTGCCCTCTCTGTCTCTAGTGGTCAAACCCGGCCTCATTTGCAACAGCTGTAAATCAATTTGGTAAACATGGCAGAATATAGAAGTATACTTTGAATGTTGAATAAGCGCAAAGTACATTTCGCTATTGGATGTAATATAGTTGACTTAAGACACATGTATAGTTGATTCAAAATCAAAATCAAGGTATGGATTCTTTAGCCACAGTAGGAAGTTAATAAATCCTACAATTAACTCGGCATCCATTATCTGTAGATGATTGGACCTTTACATATCTATGTATCTATGCAAATACTGATTGTCTTTTGTATCCTGTAAGTCCTATCTGCGCAATGTGTTCTCGTACTCCATATTGACACGGTGAAGGGGCAGGGATGTGCTTTGTTTCCTCACTTACCCATAGTCTCGTAATGAACTGTGTAGTTTCCTGTTGTATAAGCTCTTCCGGGTTGCAGGTTCGATGTCAAGGTCACGTTCAGGAAGTCACGGTTCGGAGAGTCTATGGCCATGACCTCTGGCCACGTCATGTTGATGCTTGTTTGGTTTTGTCCAGGATGAGACTGGCTAGAGGGACAGTTAATGAAGAACGGAGGCGATGTTTCTGGAACTACAAGCCATAATCTTCTTGACTCCATTCAGCGATCTTCCAGTCCCGACAGTTCTGATATAGTCCATCCTTTGTCAGGTAAGTCAGGGGTGGCAGCAAGGCAGGAGTGGACACTGGAAAAATCACACTTACAAGCTTGGAAATGTCTTGGAATGATGATGTTTCCAAGACATTTCCAATTTTGAAAGATGATGTTTCCAAATATTTCCAATTTGGAAATATCCGCAAGGGAGATGACTGGGTGATGATGGAAAATGATTGTTCTGCATGGGCTAATTGCTATAGTGGCATGGGGGCGGCATGAATGTTTCATGGGGGCGTTAAGGCGACTGGCGGTAGTCTTTGATGTTTGATGTTGTTTTAGTAATGATTGTTTAAGGGCTTAACGAAAGGATTATCGACTTGACTAATCGAACTTGCAGTGGTTAACACATTTTAAATGTTCAATGTTTTGGGTGAAAAGCGAATTTTGTCACGTTTAGTTTAAGTATGTGTCATCGTAAGCTTATATCTAGTGAGTGAGAGTTAATTTCGTACAAGGGCCACCGACCCGTATTACAATTATAAAGATGACAATACAATCCAGCGCCACATATAATATTAAGCTGTATGCTAACATGTAAAATGTCTCATTTAATCTTATACTCTTTATTTATAAACTTCGCTCTTTTTGTCAATGCAAGAAATATAAAC